AATGTTGTGGTCAATAGAAATGCAATGTGGGGTTTTTTATGAGAAAAATAAAAAATGTTCTTATTTACCAAAAAAGAAAAATATTCTTTAATATGGTTGAAATTTAGGTCATGGAAAAACATGACTTTTAACTAAAATATGCATTGGACTCTCCATTTTTAATAGGGGTTATGATGTCAAGAAAAAGTGAAGCGTTATTTCCTGTTCTATTGCACAATCATGACATTATAAGCAACCCTATTAGTAACTGAAGCTTAGTATGATTAAGATGAAGAATTAAAGGCATATATTTATTTTGAAGGAATCTCTTGGATGCCAGTCTCATGGACATAGCCATAATTTAAGGCTTGAAACTCTTTAGCTTAAAGACACCTCACCCCACCCCATCAAATGAAAAGTTGGAAAAAAGCTAATGTAGCCCATGACTTGTAGTTAAGAAAGAAAAAATTTGGTATCAAAGTGCTTTTCCAAATGTGCATCATCAAAAAAAAGAAGGGGGAAAAAAAAAGAAAAAGAAAAAAAGAAAGTGCCTTATTGTGTACATTTTGATTGACCTAACAAGATGGAATGGACTAAGGAGCCTCTTTCTTTTCTCATCTTTTCTCTTCTTTTTCCTCTCCATGATTGTGTTTAATCAGGTTCTTTTATAAAAACAACTTGGTAGCCATGGCCACTAAGAGACCCCTTTTATTGAAGAAAAGATGGGGGGTCCTACATTTCGCGGGACACCATTACCGTGATTGCGGTATGAGGCTACTAAAAATAATTAATCATGTAATCTTGATTAGTTATTGGAAAATCTTGGATGTCGCCATGCCTATCCTCCTCTATGCTGCTAATGTGCTAACCACTCATTGAGACAACAATTCACGGACATTCAATTCCACCATTTATATTATGAGTTTCATGAGACGAGTGTTCAAATCAGAACAGGTCCGAGATTATCCATCTATAATTGAGGGCCTGTTTGGCATGCAACATTTAGGGGAAACGATTGTCCCAAAGATTGTTATATATTCAGTTGTTTTTTAGTAATTGTTGTTAAGTGTTTAGTTGACTAAATTATTACCTTTTTTTTTTTTTCAAAACGATTGCCATCTGGTGACCCAACCCAAAAGAAACATTCTAATCGTCTAAACACCATTCCATAGTTTCTCGTGGCAGGTGGTCAGCAATTTCCCTTGAGAGCTAAATACCAAACAAAACCTAGGGTAAAAGGGTTTGTGGTTTTATGACCTAAAATAGAAGGATAATAATAGAGCGGATGACTTTTGTAGACGAAAGTGGAGGACAATCTACATGACAAGCTTAAATTAATCATTTACTTTTAGTTATTTTATATCCTTCACTTTGAGCTTACAACGTAAATCGTCCTCTACTTTTGTCCCACAAAAGTCGTCCGCTCTATCATTATCCAAAATAAAATGGTGTGGAAGGTCAGCGTGAATGATTGATGCATAGAGCCTAGAGAGCATGTGATGTTTTCACTCACTGTGGTATCACAAGCAATTTAGTTGACTGAACAAGCAGGACAATCTGGAAAGTGGAAAGTAGTAGCTTAATTCAGCACCCATAAATTGACCTCTATTGTTCTAACCCGTTCCACACTAACTTAGCAATTAATTTTGACATTCATGCACAATACAATTAGAATGAAATGCACAAATTTCTTCATAGAATGAAAGTAATCCATATTTTAATCTTTACGGCATTCTGGTAACAATCAAACAAAGAAAAGTTGTACACAAATTTGAAAGAGCCGTAAACAATGTACAAATTTGTATTCTGCAGACTAATTTCGGCTTCTGTGTTCCCAGTCATCTTGTAGAATGGTAAGAGGTCTTGATAATTAGGCTGGAGAAGTGTCCTTTAGCCTATATGTTTAGTTACTTTGAGAAAAGATAGCATGTGATATTCACAGTCCTCACTGGGATGCAAGAATTATGTTATTCAAAGAATGCAGACTCTTAATGGCATGACTTACTCTCCTATTCTTCCCTTCGTTTCTTAGCATATTTCAGCGTGCAGACAATTTAAGTAGTTGGGTTGCAGGTTTGAAATAACTCTTGATTCAAGCATTTATCGTCATAATACTATTATCAACAACAAATAGATGACACATTTGGACCAAATGTGCCCAATGGCTATATTTAGCAGCTTGACCTTAATAATACTTCCTAATCAATGTCTAATTAATATCAGTGCATAAACAAGTCTTTCTAGACTATATGATATAGATTTAAAGGTATACATTAAAACTGTAACATTGAGGATTGCAAGGAAATACTGCTCACATACTCAGCTGGTCATCCTCAACAAGTTGACAGCATCCAAACTCTTGTGGTTTTGATGTCAACACTGGCACTTGTAATGCTTTGAAGCTATGGCAGACGGAAAAATAAGTTGGCAATGGAAGGAGCATGTCATAACCTATCAAAGGCCAGTCAATGTTCACTTTTTTACACGCATCAGTCTATAGACTGGATTATATGATAAGGAATAAAAGTTCTCTCCTGCAAACCCCCTTCTGCCCCTCTCAAGGTTTAACTAGAGACTTCCAGACTGGAATACCTTTGGAAGTCCCATGGCAGTGACCATTTTAGAAATTTGGTAACTAAAGTAGGTTATCTTCTTCTATCTCATGATGTCCTCAATGGGATGTCCCTCCTAAGAAAACTTAAATTCGATCAACAAAGCAGAAATCTGAACAGTATGCAAATATGAACAATAAAGCAGAAGAAGGCCTGTAAACTTCTATTTCGTGGGAATGCATTTCTCTGGCTCCAACTTCCAGTATTTCTTTTGGGGGAAAATTATAAGCATAGGGAAGGTGAGAAGTTAAAATGCCATTTAATGGGGCAAAGAAGACATTTGCGAGTCAAGGATGGGAAGGGGTTCAACTTA